CAAATCCATCGCCTTAAGGTTTCTCCCTAGCACCACAGAAGATGGCCTATTGGCTCCTCTGGATTATCTTGTTAGCAGTTTGGGAAGGTATTTTACGCAAGGAGATAAATATTTTTTCTTCCCTGTAATATGATTGTCATGAGATGTGACCCATCTGTATGGTATATGATTGACTTAATATGGTCTCTAAATATTCCATTTTGTTTTCCAGGGGTCCATATGGAAGTAGTTCTGACCCAAAGGGGTTCAGAGATGAAGAGGCCTGGTGAATCTGTTCAGCTGACATGTGCCACAAGTGGATTTGTGCTAAATGATTATTACACAGCTTGGGTCAGACAAAAACCAGGGAAGGGTCTGGAATGGCTGGTATACTACTGGAGATCTTCTGCAACCAACTACTATTCCCCCACCATCCAAGGACGATTCACAGCCTCCAAGGATAGCTCCAATTTTTACTTGCAAATGAACAGCCTGAAAGTGGAGGACACAGCTGTGTATTACTGTGCAAAACAAGATACACAGTGAGAGAAAAACAGTCAACGGTCCTACACAAACCCTTATGGAGAATGGATTGTGGAAGGCATTTCCTGATGGTGGAGCCAAACACCGCACTAAAGTCAGAACTGTTGAGGAGAACGTCTCTCCTTATTACCAAGGGGCTGATGTGCAGGAGAGAATGCAGAACTTATTTTCATTCATTTCTTCCATATTAAAGAACACTATGTCAAGTGATGACATCAGAGCCCAGCAGTGTGTCAGCAAGCTGCCATGGTGTTCTGTGTTACTTGTCCCTGTACAGTTGTTCCAACCCTTCCCCCTCTCTTGCTAGCATGTATTTTATTCTGCTGTAATGCCTAAGACTGATAACTGGAGGATGTGAGGTGGGAGTACGCTTGAATGCCAGCTTGTTGCTTTTAGTGTATGGGAACTGCACCTGTATTATGTCTAGAGATAACTTGGTTCTCAGGGAACGAGCGCGCAACCGTTTCCTTTCGCCCGCCAGCGGGAAAGTGACCCATTGGTTCTGTGTTTCTTTCAAACCCCTTTATTATGTTTGACCCCACCGTTTGTGCTCAGTTCTAACAAAGAACGTGTTTGAGTGTCTTTCCAAAGCTTTGAAATAAAATCTTGCTTTTAAAAACGTGGATTTATTCTCGATGCTTGGGAACCCAACACAGTGTACACAGCTTTCTATATTATAGGATTGAAAAGTACGTAGATGGAGAGTG